CCCTGTACCACAGTGCTGTGGAGAATTTGCTCACCCTCCACATAGGGAGCGTGAATCTCAAACCCGGTTGAGACAAGCTCAAGGGCTGAGGCTCCTTCAGCACTACCTCCTGAATCTCTTGACTTGCTTCATACATTGTCAAACCCTTCTATGCCTGACCGAATTCAAGGAAGTTCATCTAAGCGATGTGACCATTTCCTGAAACACTGCACCCAGGTAACTCTCCACAGCCCTGATGCATCACAGTGTTCAAAGCTGAGATAGCAGCTCATCAACTCTGAGCCGGAGCTCCACAAGCAACCAACAGTTGCTACAGATGTGGTCACTAAAAACCACAATGGAGTCCACCAGCTCTCACATCATGCAGGTACAACACATCATCGGGCCCCATCACTATTTTAATTACCTAGTTCTTAATTTGATGTTTAAAATTTCATGTTGGTCTTTTGATTTGTAGCCTGTAAATGTTTTCCTTGTGTACCACCAATCTGAAAATAACCTACAATAAATAGTTAAATTAGTAGTTATCACTACAGTGAAGTTAGTTTCCCTTTGATGTCATTCTTTTGTGCTGGACTCCTGGTCCTGGTCTTCAGTTTATGTTATGAGAAAAATCTTACAAAGTATGAGCCAGAAAAAAGAAAGCAACAAAGCATCTTGTTCCCTTCTGCACCAAATCCCATGTTGCCTGGACAATAGACACCCTCAGGCTGTGTCTCACTTTGGACGGGATCTCTCCTTCCTGACCGTGCTAAGCTGTCTGATCACATCTTGACATTACAATTACTGAAACCCCACCTATCAACATCCCGGGGTTACTACTGACCAGAAACTGCAGTGGACTATCTATGTAAATGCTGTGGCTACAAGTCCATGTCAGCAGCTAGGAATTATGCACCAAACTCAATTCCTGACTCCCGAAAGCCTGTACACTATTTACAATGCAAAAGTAAGAAGTGGGTGATCATTTTGATGGGATTATACTATCGGCCCTCCAAATAGTCAGAGGGAAATTGAGGAACAAATATGTAGGAGATCTCTGAAAACTGTCAGAATAATAAGGTTGTAACAGTACAGGGTTTTAATTTTCCAAACATGGCCTGGAACTGCCATCGTGTTAAGGGCTTGGGGAATTTATTAAGTGTGTTCAAACAATTTTCTTTATCAATATGTAGATGTTCCTTCAAGAGAAGGAGCAAAACTTGACTTTCTGTTGGGAAATAAGTGACTGAAGTATGGTTGGGGGAGCACTTTGGGACCAGTGGCAATAAGTGTATTAGTTTTAAAATAGTTATGGAAAAGGATAGGCCTTGAATAAAAGTTAAAGTATTTCATTGGAGTAAGGCAAATTTTGATGGTATGAGACAGGAACTTTTAAAAGTTTACTAGAGTAGACTGTTTGCAGGGAAAGAGACAAGTTGCAGGTGGGAGGCTTTCAAAAGTGAGATAACAAGAGTTCAGAGGCATTAAATTCTGTCAGAGAGAAGGGTAAGACTGGTAAGAGTAGGGAACAATGGATGAATGGAGATATTGAGGCTTGGTCAAGAATAATAAGGGGTCATATATTCAGTACAGACAACTGGGAGCTTAACAGAAGAGTAGAAAGGGTGTAGGGGCATTCTTAAGAGGGAAATTAGGGGGAAATCAGTATCAGGATACGAGACAGCCTTGGCAGATAAGGAAATTCCAAAGAGATTCTACAAGTACATTAAGATTGGGCTTCAGATTGGTTTCACAGATTGGCGCAACATCAAGGGCCGAAGGGCCTGTACTGCGCTGTAATGTTCTATGTTCTACGTTCTAAGAGCAAAAGAGCAACTAGGGAGAGAATAGGGCCTCTTCAGAATCAATGAGACGACCTATGTGTTGAACCAAAGGAGATAGGAGAGATAATAAATGAATATTTCACATCGGTTTTTACTGAGGAGAAAGAAATGGAGGCTAGGAAACTCGGGGAAATAAATATTGATGTCTTGAAAACTGTCCACATTACAGAAGAGGAAATTCTGGAGGCCTTAAAAAACATGAGGGTGGATAAATCTCCAGGACCTGAGCAAGTGTATCCAAGGACATTGTGAGAAGTTAGGGAAGAAATTGCAGGACCCTTACCAGAGCTATTTGTATGACTTACAGTCAAGGGTGACGTACTGGAGGACTGGAGGGTGGCCACTGTTGTGCCTTAATTTAAGAAAGGTTGTGAAGAGAAGCCTGGGAACTGTAGACCTGTGAGTCTGACTTCAATGATGGGTAAGTTGATGGAGCGGACTCTGAGAGATAGTAGTTGCATGCATTTGGAGAGGCAAGGGCTGATGAAGGATGTCAGCATGGCTTTGTGCCACAAACTTAATTGAGTTTTTTGAGGATGTGACTAAAAGGATTGATCGAGGGCAGAGCAGCAGACTTTGAATACATGGTCTTTCGTAAATCTTTCAACAAGGTTCCACATGGTCGACTCATTCGTAATGTTAGATCACGTGGGATTCAGGAAGATGCACAATTGGCTTGACAGTAAGAGACAAAGGATGGTGGTGGAGGATTGATGTTTAGACTGGAGGCCTGTGACGAGCGTGTTCCGCAGGGATCGGTGTTGGGTCTACTTTTGTTTGTCATTTGTGTAAACATTTTAAATGAGAATTTTGGAGATATGATAAGTAAGTTTGCAGAAGACACCAAAATTGATGGTACAGTGGACAGTGAAGAAAATTATCTAAGATTTCAAAGAGATCTTGAACAATTGGGCCAATGGGCTGAGGAGTGGCAGTTGGAGTTTAATTTCGATAAATGTAAAGTATTGCATTTTAGTAAAGCAAACAAAGACAGGACTTACACAGTTAATAGTAGGGCCCGACCTGGGAGTTCAGGTACATAGTTGTTTGAAATTTGCATTGCAGGTGGTCAGGGTGGTTAAGAAGACGTTTAGTATGCTTGCCTTCACTGTTTGGGCTATTGAGTCTAGGAGCTGGGATGTCATGTTGAGGTTGCACAGGACATTATTAGTGAGGGTTAAGAAAAGATTTATCAGGATGTTGGTGAGAGTAGGGGTTTGAGATATAAGGGTACGTTAGATAAGCAGGGACATTTTACAATGGAGGTTCAGGGGTGACATTACAGGAGTTTATAAAATCATCAGGGGCATAGATAAGGTAAATAGCAAAGGGCTTCTCTCCAGGGGGAGGAAGTTGGCAGAGTTCATAAGTAGGGGGCATATTTTTAAGGTGAAAGGAGAACAATTTAAAAGTGACCTGAGGGACAACTTTTTCACACAGTGGGTGGTTCACCCATGGAAAGAACTGCCAGAGGAAGTGGTAGATGTGGGGAAAGTTACAACTTTTGGATATTTGGATAGATACATGAATAGGAAAGGCTTTGAGGGGAAGGGGCCAAATGCAGGTAAGTGGGTCCCGTTTCGCTCACGAAACTTGGTTGGCATGGAGTAGTTGGACCAAAGGATCTGTTTCTGTGCTGTATACTCTATGACATTATGACTATGAGTCAGGAGTCTGACGGAATATTCTGGATGAGAGCAGCCACACATCATTCTGACTTGGAAATATATTGCTATTCCTTCAGTGTCACTGGGTCAAAATCCTGGAACACACTCCATAACAGCACGTTGGGTATCCCTACACAACGTGGACTCCAGCAGTTCTACAAAGCAGCTCACTGCTACCACCTTCTCCAGGACAGTAACAGAAATGCTGGCCTAACCAGCAACACTCAGATCCCGCGAAAGTATGAATAAGAAAGAACTGACGGGTCTACACCTTCAACAAATGGGGAGAGGGAGTTGAAAAAAAAAATCATATTTCTATTTGGATAACAAGGTGTAGAGCTGGATGAACACAGCAGGCCAAGCAGCATCAGAGGAGCAGGAAGGCTGACGTTTCAGGCCTTCATTTCTGAAGAAGGCTCTAGGCCTGAAACGTCAGCCTTCCTGCTCCTCTGATGCTGCTTGGCCTGCTGTGTTCATCCAGCTCTACACCTTGTTATTTCAGATTCTCCAGCATCTGCAGTTCCTACTATCTCTGAAACATTTTCTATTTACTGTTTTACGGAAGGATTGCATTGTACAGCTCCAGGCAATATCGAGAGGATAGATACTGCAAATAGACAGAGTCATAGAGTAATACAGCATGGAAACAGGCCTTTTGGCCCACACTGATTCATGCTGACCATGGTGCCCACTCAGCTAGTTCCACTTGCCCACATTTGGTCCATATCACTCTAAACCCTTCCCATCCATGTACCTAACCAAATGTTTTTAAAATGTTGCTATTGTACCTGCTTCAACCACTTTGTCCGACAGCCCATTCCACATACACACCACTCTCTTTGTGAAGAAGTTGTCCCTCAGGTCCTTCTTAAATCTTTCCCCTCTCACCTTAAACCAAGCTATATGCATTCATCCTATCTATGTCCCTCATGATTTCATACACCTTAATAAGGTCACCTCTCATTCTCCGACATTGCAAGGAATAAAGTCCTATCATGGCCAACCTCTCCCTATAACTCAGGCCTACTAGTTCTGGCAACATCTCGTAAATCTTCTTTGCACACTTTCCAGTTTAACAATGTCTTTCCTGTAACAGGGTGATCAAAACTGTACAAAATATTCCAAGTGCAGCCTCACCAACGACTTATACAACTGAAACATAATGTTTCAACTCCTATACTCGATGCCTCGACTGATGAAGGCCAGTGCATTAAATGCCTTCTTCACCACCCTGTCCACCTTTGACACCGCTTTCCACGAACTATGTACTTGTATTCCTAGGTCCCTCTGTTCCACAACACTCCTTAGGACCTTACCATGGTTTAACTTTCCAAAGCGCAATACCTCACACTTATCTATATTGAATTGCATTTGCCAATCCTCAGTCCACTTCCCCATCTGATCAAGATCTTTGTAATTTTTGATAACCTTCCTTGCTATCAACGATGCCTTCTAATTTTGTACCATCCGCAAACTTACTAACCATGCCTTGTATATTCATATGCAGATTAGTTATGTAAATAACAAATAAGAAGATCCTGAAGATGACGCAAAGAGCTGTGGTAATACTCTTCACAGCTTTATTCAACACAGAGAAGGTTGACCATGAAACCATCAATCAGGTCAGGGGAGCTTTGACATATCATCAGATCTGAAACTGGTCAGTGGTGTGGACCCTTCCATCAGCACCAACCTTTCTGAAGGTTTGAAGTTGAGGATTCGGATGAGGCTGGAAAGAAGTGTGAGTTGCTTCAAGTATGGTGAGAGCCCCAATCCTTTATCAACCCTCATGAACCATTGACTCACTCTTACAGGTGAGAGGACATTCAAGTATGAGCTCTGGGAGAAAGTTCACATAATCTCCTAACACTCAAGGTGCAATTATTGTAAAATTGTTAACAGAAAGAAAGTCACATGGAGAGAAAACATTCAAATAGGAAGTGTTTGCAATGTTATCTACGCTTGTGTATCTACGACACAATGACACTGGAGAGAAAATGTTCAAAGGTGAGGCATGTAACAAGAAGTCTGCACAGTTATCGGGCTTGATAAAACATAAAGCACTTCACATGGGGGCAAAAGCATTCACATGCAAGGTTTGTGAAAAATCATTCTCACATTCATTGAACTTCCGCAGACACCAACGAGTTCACACAGGGGAGAAACCCCACAAGTGCAAGAAATGCAACAAGTCATTCTGTCTCATCAAGACTCTTGATCCACCAGAGGATTCATACAGGGAAGAAACCATTTGTGTTTGAGATGTGTGAAAAGACATTCTTGGAGTCAGCAAACCTTTGCAGACACCAACGAATTCACACAGGAGGGAAACGTCACAAGTACAAGGAATGCACCAAGGCATTCTCAGAGTCATCAAAGCTTCAAAAATACCAACAAATTCACAAAGGGGAGAAAACATTCATGTGTGAGGTCTGTGAAAAAACATTCTTGCAGTTATCAAAACTCCGCATACACCAACAAATTCATACAGGAGAGAAACCATTCACATGTGACGTCTGTGACAAATCATTCTCTGAATCATCAACCCTCCGTGTTCATCAACACATTCACACAGGAGAGAAACCATTCATATGTAAGGTTTGTGATAAAACCATTCTCACAATCATCAAATTTCCACAAACACCAATGTATTCACACAGGGAAGAAACCATTCACATGTGAGATGTGCTTCAAATCATTCTTGCGACCTGCCGACCTCTGGGCACACCAACATATCCATAGAGGGGAAAAATCATTCACTTGTGAGTGGTGCGACAAATCGTTCTACAACTCATCAAAACTGTTGGTCCACCAGGGGATTCACACAGGCAAGAAACCATTCATGTACGAGGTGTGTGAGAAAACATTCTCAGATTCATCAATTCTCCGCAGGCACCAACGGGTTCACACAGGGGAGAAACCATAAAGGTGCAAGGAATGTAACAGATCATTCTCAGAGTCATCAAACCTTCAAAGACACCAACAAATTCATACAGGGGCGAAACCATTCACATGCAAGGTCTGTGAATAATCATTCTCAGCATTATCATACACCAATGCATTCACACAGGAGAAACCTGACACATGCAAAGAAAGCGACAAGTCATTTGCAGAGTCTTCAAAGCTTCAGAGATACCATCAAATTCAAAAAGTAGAGAAAGGTGTGTGACAAATCATGCTCAGACTCATCAACCATCCGTAAACCACAACAAATTCACACAGGAGAGAGAGCATTCATGTGTGAGGTATCTGATATATCATTCTGAAAATCGTCAAAGGCTCTAATGCATTCACACAACAGAGAAACTATTTATGTACAAGGTGTTCGATAAACTGTTCACCCAATCTCCTGCTCCATCAGAGGATTGACAAAGGGAGGAACTCTTTAAATGGGAGGTTTCCAATAAAAGTATCATGACTTCTTCAAACCTCCTGGGACATGAGAGGATTCAGAAAGTAACAAACTCTTCAGGTGTGATTGTATGACAAATTTTGCACCGACATCTCCAACCTGAGTTCCAGAGGATCCACACTGGTGAAAAACCATTCAAGTGTGTTGCAGAAGGCAATGACCTAAAGTTGACAAAATGGCCACTTGGGGCATTTTTAGCGAACAAAACATAGCTGAAAGGGTTTGACAGTTACATACAGGAGATGTTCACGCCTAGACTTGTGGTCTCCATACAGATATACTGGATAAGATGAGATTCTCTGACGGAAGTAATATCAGGGAAGTCAATCAGGCTTCTGTAAACAGGCAGTTCTAAACATATAAACATTTTAACAATGGGCAGTTTTGAAACGCCTAATGTAGCCACAGGCCCAAGCTTGTTATTTAGTAAGAAGTAGAAGAAGATTCTGATCCTGCAGTATTCTGAATATTTTAGGTAATTGAAAAATTATAAAGGTAACAAACAAATTAATAGGAAAAGGTTAGATGCATTCCTTGAGCAAATGTTTGTCGGCAGTCAAAAGGTCCAATGCATTACTAGGGAAGATAAAGGTAATAAATGGTTTAAATATGACCTCCAAAAAATATCTATTGGCACAGGAGGAGGGCAGAGAAAGTTTGTAAAAAGAGAGACCACAATTGAAACTTACGTGCAGATTTAGATAAATTGAACAAGTTCTTATATCCCAAGATCAAGGGAAGTGTGACAAAGACAGATGACAAAACACAGAGTGAAGATGTGGTTATGTCCCCTAGTTGTATGCGGAATTTAAACAAGTTTCATTTCAAGATTTGTTAAAGTTGTAAAGTGATTGAATTTCAACTTCATCAGTAGAATTCAAATAGATGTTTTTTATGAAGAAAAGATAATTAGCCATGGAAAGTTTTCAAGAGTAGAAACAGTAAATATTTACTTAAAAATGAAACTTAGTTTAAAATTCACTTACAGCATGTAAATAGCAGTGGTTGTAAACTGCCATTGCAAGTCAGAAACACTTTGGTTGATCTCTCAGGCTGAAGTGAGAGAGGGATTGTTTTCAATTTGTCAGCTGTGTCACAGAATTGTAGGAACTTTATATCAGAGTTGATTTTAAAGTCGTTATGATAACTGGTAGAAATTAATATCCTTCCTAATCTGCCATACTAAAGTTAGTACAGAATTTGGAAGCGCGCTTAACGATAAACAAGTATTTAGGTTATTGGTAAATATCTGGGAATGAATAAAGCTGTCAGAAGAATTTTGAGATCCTAAAGACAGATAATGGAGGTATCTAGTAGACTTTGGGAGAATGCAGACAGCCTGAGGTCCTCCCTTAGAGTTGTCCATCATTTATTGTGTGTTTACTGGATTGGATGTATAGATTAGGGGGATGTGGCTAACTGACATCTATTTAGTGTAACGCAAAAGGTATAAAAATGTTGTATTTAGCTGGGGAATCAATAGTGTCATTGACCTCTCTTCCGATCTGAGCTCTCATATAAGAGGGCAACTGAGCCCCACATGAAAACCAGATTCAGAGTGGTCTCTCGGCTCTCCCACATATGTGACAAAGGAGCTTTAAAGAAACATTACTGGTGCTGCTGAACACAGAATTCAAGACTTCTCTTTAATTTTTCTCCCTTCAACAAGGTATGTGGTGTGTGACCAGGCTTTCATACAGTCAGAGTATTTCCTGATCCATAAAAACATTCATGAAAATCTCTATTGGTTTAAATTCTGTAAGAAAGCCTTGTCCTGGAACATAAATGCACTCGATTGGACATCAAACCCTTCCTGTGTGATATGCCAGGATTATTTCACCTCCTCCTCCTCTCTCACAGAGGATATCTCCACATGGTCTTGGGGCCGGGACACCCAATTTCATTGCACTGAGAGCTGACTGTTGTTTATCATCCAGTGCTCACATAGGGGAGCTGTCATTCTAAAGTACTGGCTGTCTCACCAGTGTCTGCCTCAATTCTTTCCTACCAAACATTCCAATTGTTTTAAGGAAGTCAATTTAACCTTTGACCAGATTGCAGAAACACAGCCTTCAAAGGTGGATGTACTTAAGACCAGAATGGAAGAACCCCAGAGTTCTCGGAGAGAGATGGGACCAGAGGTGCCAAAGATAGAGAGAGGTGAGGCCATGGAACATTCAATACTTGAGCATGAGGATTTTAAATTGGAGGCTCTGAAGTACTTGGAACAATGTACAGGTCAAGTACAGGGGTGATAGGTGTGTATGAAGACAGAGAATGCAAAGTTTTAGTTGAGTTGAAGTTTATAGAGGGTGCAAGATGGGAAGCTGGACAGGAAAGCATTGGAATAGTGTAGTCTAGTCTGGAAGCTACAACAGCATAAATGAAGGTTTCTTCAGCCTATTGACTAATGTGAAGCTGGGATGTTCGAAATGCTGTAGAGGGGGAAATCAGGTGATCTTTGTGATGTAGAGGGTATGGGATTGGAAGCTCAACTGGAATTTGAAGAAGATTACACTGCCCAATTTTTGTTGCGGATGGGAGTGGAGAAAAAAATCATATGTAAGAACTGGAGTAATCTATTCATGTTGTTAAACCATTCAGTTAGATCACAGTTGATCTGTATCTTAATTCTATCTACATGCCTTGACTGTCATCCTTAATTTCCCCTGTCATAGTCCGACCAGACCATTGGGTTGTTCTGTCATTCAAGAGATAGGACTAGTGGTGGGTGTGACCAAAGCATCACCATGCCTCATGAGAGAGGAGAGGTTGACGAGTCCTTCATGGTAATGTGCGAGAATTGAACCCATGATGTTGGCATAATTCTGCATCACAAACCAGCTGCTCAGCCAACTGAGACCCATTGACACTTTGCTGCGGTGAAGAGGCTTGAGTGTTCTGTTAATCCTGAGAGCAATACCATTAGGAGTTCTCAACTCCTGGGAGTCAGCCCATGATGGTAAGGTCAGAAGGGAGGAACAAGACAAAGCGTAATCCAAAACAAATTATCAGCGGCGATCCAGAGAGAAGATACATGATATCAATGGCCCTAAAGGAGATGCAGAGAGCAAGCAGAGGGCAGTGGAGGGAAGAAGGTGGTGGTTCCACCTTTTTCTGGAGAGGAAAACATGAGGATCAATGCAGGACACATGAAATTAAATTCACCATCAAGAATGAACTCCAATGAACTCTTAGAGACTCAGCAATGGCATCATGACTCAATGGCAATGGTTGTGACTGTCTATGCTTCAATCCTTGAGTTGAAAGAAAGCTTCTCATCCACCCTGGAAGCTTGATGCTGAGAGAGTGCATCAACCCTATCCTAAATGATAATGGCTATTATGATCAAATTATCACTTGTGCAAAATCATGAAAGAATGTTTGGCTCTGACAGATGACTAGTCTACTTGAGATTACAGTGCAAGCAGGAGGTGTCTCAAAAATTTGATCAACAGGTAACTTTAGCTATTTAACTTTGTACCTTTGCATTAATGTAAGAGTGGCTTTCTCCACAGCCAGGATGTTGTTGTGAATAAAAAATAAATTCTGCACAGCACACAAATAAGTGGTATGAGTTCTGTATAATGTTGCAATACCAGATATATAGGCTGTACATCTCAATAACATATTGAATATCAAACAACACATCCCTGTGTTGTTTGGCAGTGGGCAAGATGTGAATTGTGCTGAGCTTAGATTACAGTGTCCAGCACTAGATGCAATTCTGCACTTGAACAACAAATTACCAAATGATCCAGACTGTGCTTGGAATTACACTGGAAACAAATCTAAGATTATCAGTCAGGCTCGGAGTGTTAATTTGGTTGCATATTCATGTTACAGACATCAAAGATTCATTTCATGTTGTGGGAAAAATCTTCATCATTTAAAATTGTTTTTTGTTGTTTTGGTTCATTCAAAGTTTCAAGTGAGGTCAAAGTTTTTGCCTGGTGTGTTTTCAATCTTCTTTGTGGATGTATATCTCACAATAAATGTGATTTTTATTTTACCCAAACAAAAAGATTTATCAGCATTGTCTTTTGCTGTTCATTGAAACTCTCAGATGTCCTAAACAGAATATATTGGCCATTGTCACATGGCCTAGTGCATTTCTTTTAATCAGTGTTTTATCATTTCCCTAAGAATAATATTTTCCTTAGAAAAACACCTTGCATTTTTATGTCAAATTGCATGAATACATGCATTCTGAAAGCAATTTTCAGTTAATGAAGCACTCTTGGAAGTGTTGTCACTTGTAACAACATTAGCAGTCAATTTACATACAGTGTTCTGATCCCGTTTGAGACCATTAATGCTTAGAAATACCAACATTCCAGAATTAACCAATAGATTGACACCATAATATTTCACAGTTTTAAACAAGGTCAACCATTATTGTATGTGAAAAAGTAAAGAGAGCAACACTATTCACACCATATTAGTAGTTCCAATTCTTACTTATCATTTCCCTGCGCAATACAAGAATCTTCAAAGCATTCACTTGTTTAGAGCAGACCAAAGGTATGCCACAACCCTGTAACATTTTTTTTAATACTTCAGGAGTGTGAATGCTCCAGCTTCATATTCAGTTTATCTTACCACAACTCTCAAAGGTATGAAGTTAAGTGGATTATCCATGCTACATTGCCCATAGTGTCCAGGGATGTGTAGATTAGGTGGATTAGCTATGGAAGATGCAAGGTTACAGGGTAGGGGTGAGTTTGGGTGTTGTGCTTTTTGGAGAGTCAGTGTGGACGTTGGGCCAAATGGCCTGTTTCCACACTGTAGGGATTCTGTGATGCAATGAACTTTGCTGACAGTTTTCTGCCACAAGGCTCTCTGAGGACCATTGTAGATTTCTTCCTCTATCTTTAAACAAGGCAAAGCCTCATTTACTGTTCCCTTACATTAGCCCAACTGAGCTTGAACTTCACAATTTCAATAGTTGGATCCCTGCGATTAAGGGTAAAGTATTGGCTTAGATAGAGGATTGTCTGACTGACAGAAAGCAGAAGGTCGTGATAACTGGGTCCTTCTCTGAATGGTGTAAGTAGTGGGTGCCACAGGCTTGAATTCTTGGACCTCAACTATTTACAGTCTGTATAAATTATCTGCAAGCAGGGACAGAGTGGAACAGGGCAAAATTCGCGATGATACTAAAATAGGTGGGAAAGGATGCTGTGATGAGGAGATAAAAAGTTTGCAGACAGATATGGATAGGCAAGGAGAATGGACCAGAACCTGGCAGACTGAGTTCAATGTGGATAAGTGCGAGGTTGTCCACTTTGGCTGGAAAAATAAATTGGCAAGTTATTATTTAAATGGCAAGTGGATTCAAAGTCTGTCAATGCAGAAGGATCTAGGCATCTTTGCGCATAAATCACACTAAGTAGATATGCAGGTGCAGAAATAAATAAAAAAGGCAAATGGAATCCTGGCATTTATTGTAAAAGGACTGGATAATAAAAGTAAAGAATTGTTGTTACAATTATATCAGACATTGGTGAGAGTGTACCTGGAGTATTGTGTGCAGCTTTGGTCTCTTTACTTGAGGAAGCATTTGGTGGCACTGGAAGCAGTTCAGACAAGGTTCATAACGTTGATTCCAAGAATGAAAGGGCTATCAGACCAGGAGTGGTGGAATAGGTTGGGGATGTACTCACTCAATTTCAGAAGAATGAGGGGCGATCAACTGAGGTGTAGAAAATACTGAAGAGAATTGTTAAGGTGAATGTTGGAAAGATGTCCCCCTTGTGGGACAGTCTCAAACAAAACTTCGTAGATATAGAGTGTGAGGACGTAGGTTCAAATTGAGATGAGGAGAAATTACCTCTTTCAGAGGGTTGTGAATCTATGGAACTCACTGCCCAGAGGGCAGGGAAGGCAGATCAATCAACAGATTCAAGAAAGAAATAAATATTTTTCAAATAAGAAGTGGGATAAAGGGCTATGCGGAGAAGGCAGGAAATTGGAGTTGAGATCAGAATAAGATCAGTCATGATTGTGTTCAATTGCGGAGTAGACGAGACTGAATTGCCTACTCACCCTCTTAGTTTCTATGTTCTTATGTAAGTGGTGAACAATAAACATGGTATTTTCTCTGCTTTATATGCAAGTCTGACTAACAACCATCTCCTGTTGGTCTCACAACCCAGTGGGGTGCAGACTTGCAGTTTGGTTCTACCATGGATAAAGGAGCTGAATTCCAGAGGTGAGGTGAGAGTGACTGCCCTTTCCCCTTGCTACATTTAACCAAGTGTGATATCAAGGAGCCCGAGCAAAACTAGAGTTAGTGGGAATCAAATGGAACATTCTCTGCCTGTGTGACTCAGACCTGGCACACAGGAAGATAGTAGTAGTTGTTGGTGGTCAATCATCTCAGCTCCAGGAGTTCCTCAGGGTCCTGTCTGAGGCCAAATCATCTTCATCAATGACCTTCCTCCATCATGAAGCCAGAAATGAGAATGTTCACCAATGACTGTACAATATAAAGCACCATTTGCAATTCTATCTATGCTAGAATTGACAAGTGAATAGGTGGGACTAAAAGTGGATCATGTTGTCCTGTCCAATGTGTGAAGGCGAGAGGGACAAGCCGTCTTTTCAAACATGACTGAATTGCAGCCCCAAGCCCAGAAAGCTCACCCTTCACTGAAGTTGTTTAAAACCTCTCCAGCAACTCAGCTCAACTCATCCAAACCCCTCACAATCCCGCTGCGAACTACATTACCCATGCTGAATGTCAACAGAATGCTTGAGCAATGAGGGGGCAATAGTGAGGAATTAGGGGAGACTCAGCCCATGTCTCAGTTTTTCAAAATCTTTTAGACATCATCTTAGTTGTCTCAAAACAGAATCTTAAAGCCTCACTTAATGCTTTTGTAGAAGCAAACTAAGCATACGGAGGATGAACTGCAAGAAACATGATCTTCTTACACAGCATAAAGGGCATTTCCACCCTGATTGTCCACAAACATTTCATCCAAGATGTTTATTTTCAGGTATATTATATTTTGTTCAAAAAACATACAATTTGTAGTCATAGTCAGTGTGACATTTTATAAATTCCTGGTTTTGGAATTAGACCAGGCTGATTTAAAAATTGGAGACAGATTCAGAATGAAACCTCACACCTACAATTCAGTGTCTGACCTGAGATGTCACCTGTTGTGACTCTGTCTGATTGAAGTTTGGAAAGTTAGGCAGACACTAACAAAACCTTTAGTTATCTTGGGGCAGTGACTTGAAACAGACTCTGAATTTGCATCTTAATCAAAACTTGCACCTTCTTTCTAACAGACTTGTAAATCAGCCATTTAAGGCTTGTTCACTCCACTCACACCAATTGTATGATGCTTTGATCTCTCTGCTTATAAACTCTGTCGGTGTGCCCTCGTTCACTGCACCTGGTAAAGGAAGGGTGCTCTGAAAGCTTGTCATTTCATATAAACCTGTTGGACTATAACCTGGTGTGGTGTGATTTTTGACATAAAATGCCAAAGTATCACAATAGGAGAAACCATTTGTGTGTGAGAGATGTTTGATGAATCATCCTTGTATTCACACAGGGGAGAATATGTTCACGTGTGAGGTGTGCAACAAAATATTCTCACCAATATTGACTCCAATTCATCAATGCATTTAAACAGGGGAGAAATCATTCATTTGTAACATCTGCAACAAGCCATTTTTCTTCCATGCTCACCAACAAATACACATTGGTATGCAAGTATGCATCAAGTCATTGGTAGACTCATTGAACCTTAACAACCAAACATGCAATCATACTGGGGAGAGACCATTCATTTGCAAAGTGTTTAACAAGGTATTTTCACACTCATTATCCTTCCACACTGGGGAGAAGCCATTGACTTGTGGGGCATGTACCAATTCATTCTCAACTACATCAACCCTCCGCATTCATCAACACATCCATACAGGGGATTCTTTGCAATGTGTGCAATCAGTCAATCTTGCCAATGTGGCCTCTCCATGCTCATCAGCGTATTCACACCAGGGAATAACCATTCACGTATGAGATGTGAACCTTCCACAGAAATCAGCACATTCACACAGGGGAGAAACCATTCATATGTGAGGAGTGTAGAACTCCATTTTCACAGTCATCAAGCCTCTGTGCACACCAATGCATGCACACAGGACAGAAACTATTCACAAGACAAAACATTTCTGCAGTTGATGTGCCTTCATGAATATCATGTTATGCACATGGGAGAGACCATTCAAATGTATGGTGGAAATTAAAGATTTCACACATTCACCCCCATACACACAGCACTTTTCTCCTACACACAGACCTGTCTGTCCCCACACAAAGGCACAGTCTGGGGTATACACGCTGAAACAATGGCACAGAGGCAGGGTCGATCACCAAGTCACCCTTTATCTTCTCAGTGCACAGTACACAGGCTGTGGGCAGCATCAGAGTCAGTTCTCCTCAGGAGATTCTAAGCAGCTGCTTAGTATTTTTTTCTCCTGATTATATATTTTTTCTTTTGTTTTCTCCCGGTTATGTTCTTTTTTTTTCTCCTGGTTGTATTGGTCAGCCAAGGTTTCCCTGATTGGCCCACCTTAACAACCCCAGTCAAGAACCTTGAGGTCAATGTGATCCACTTGGTTTCAATCAGTACACCACCCTAACTCACACACTCATTGACTGACACTGGTTCCCAGTCCCTCATTTCCTCTGTTTTAAAATTCTCATCTTCAAGTACAAATTGCTCCAAGGCCTCACACCCTCCTTAGCTCTGTCACCTTCTGCCCCATATCCCTCCAAAACCTCTGTGTTGCTCCAATTCTGCCCAACTTCCTTCACTTCCCCATTAATGGCATCATGCGTACAGGCTCTATACTTAAGAATTCCCTCCTTAAGCTTCTCTACATTT